AGCTGTGGAAAGTTACGCCAACGGCTGCGAAAACCTGTAGGAATTGAAAGGCTTGTTGGCCAGGTGCATCATGCACTTGTGTAAAATGAACTTCTCATTTCTAAGAAGAAAAAATTTGTTGAGAACTAAACAAAGCACTTAACGTGACGCCTTTCTCAGCGCGGGTAGGACTGATAAAACGTTGTCAAAGGTCTCTTCGTGGAGCAACTTTTTAATTTGGTTTGAAAAAGCGTCAATGTTACAAAAACCCACAAGGAAACAGCTTCCAAGTCAGTTTCAGAGTTTATGGTTGACATAGAAACCGGTTCCTTCAAGCGGCTATTCCGATGGATCTCTAAAGTCAGCCAAATAATTGCGAAGATTCTTTTTTGACTGAAAAGGCCGTAGTTTTCTTGGTTCAGTGAAATGTCGTTCCACCTCGTGTAAATTTAATGCAAAGGCCTCTGTGACTATCTTTTCTTCTAGAGAAAGGTAGCAAATTTTATCGCAACACCTCTCACAGTCTTTAGACCACGACGTCCAAGCGTCCAAGCTTCCAGACTTCAATACAATTTGTTTAAATATCCTTCAACTGACTCTATTTTCAACATCGTTGCTGTTTTCATAAAAGCCAACAGCTTAATGATGAGGACTTCCCCTATTCTATCGAAGTTTTCCTCCAAGTTCAGGGTACACTATGGACTTCGACACAGTTTCTTAGGTGTGGTGCTAAAGTCATCGTGGCATTGTAAGGCCGACTTCTAACTCTGCTTACCAGCATCCATGGCTGAAGTAATTTTTATTCCTTAGATAAATTTGCCATTTTTGAAAATAATTTTATTAAGAAACGTTTTTCTCGCTCCAGGGCAACGCTTCCGTTCCTTCTTATTTCTTCTCTCTTCTAATAGCAGACTAACTTCACGGTCTTCTAAGTGGTTTTTGCTGAGCTCAAGAAAGTACCGGGACCGAAACCAAGTTGTGAGCGGAACTAGGCCATGTTTAAGAGACTAAAGGGCCAGTATAACATTTTCTAGACCAGTATCTCTAATTTACGAGGTTACACCAACTATTCGGCTCTCGTACATACAGGATCTACTGAACTCTTTACTTCCATTATATTTGTGTGGCCCTTGCTGAGGTTGGCTATCCTTGGGTCGTGCCTACAATGCTCTCTCGAATGTGACCAGTGCCTTCTTATCCTAGTTCGACTCCTTTAAAGCTTCTGAGCCCTACGTATACGTGAACTGACGAGGTGATGTATGCAGAGCGTGGCTTTGGTTCGTCGAGGAGAAGTTTCGCCATTTCAATAGGCTATCTTGCCTAAGCTGGGCGCGAATTGAAATGCTAAAATTAAACTTCGTTCGGCATTGAAAGCCGTGGATGGGTCCTTCTCAATTTTTAAAGGAGTTGAAAGTGGTAATGAACTATGGGTCCGTCAAGTTATGTTAAAAGGACTTTCCGCTGATATCGAAGAAAATACCTGTTTAATTTCCTTGAACCCTTGTTTGAAAAATTGGCACACAAAAAATTTACATACTTGTCTGAGATTCAGAGTCTGAAACAAGTAAGGATTGATTTGGAAAGCTTTCGCTTTCCTTAAATTTGGCGAAGATTATAACTCTGCATTACGAGGAGGCCACTTCTTTTTCATCTTTGCCCATATTTTCCTTCATTTTTTCCGCGAATAAATAGGCTGTGACTATATGAAACTCAATGCTGTGAATAGGCCTCAATTTCGTAATTATTGAAAGTAACTTTTGCTATTTTTTCAACTCTTGCCAGTTTTACATTTACATATGAAGTCAATAGCCTTGTTTACCGTTAGTGTAACTAACCGTATTAGGGTCAAACATGCTATTTACGTTGGCCTTCAGTGTTTAGACAAGCAAAAGCCCAAGTAAGCATAAAACCGCAGATATTTTAACACTTCACATATTAGCTGAATATTACGAGTATGACATTTGTCCTAAGCAAAACCGCTGACCAATTTGCCACCAAATAAACCAGTATTTTATGCTAAATTCGAAAGTGAACCGTTTCAAAATTATTTACTGGCAGCTTCTAGTCTACTCGAGTAGCGTTGGCGCTCAAGGACATGATTGAAGCTGGTAGACCAGCTGGTGATTGCAGGCTACTCGGGGGGCTACTTGACAGTCATAAAAACAAACAAAGCAAAGATTATAGAAATTCCTACACATTGATATGCTTGTACATATATGTACATTTGTACTTGGTGTGTTTGCAACAGCAATGCTATGCGTTTTTATTATCAAATCTTTTGCAGCTTAAAATGCTGTTAGGCCAGGTTTGAATTGGGGCAAATTAGCGCAGTCGAATAATCTGTTTTTAACGACAGTCGGTTGCATGGTTGCGATTTGGTTGATTTTATAACTTTATGCTTTCATTTCCAATTCAATTAATGATTCTTGTGAACGTTACCGTTATATCATATCCCGAAGAAAAAGCTAAATATGGCTGCCTGGCTGACTAGCTTGCTGCCTGGTTAACTGACTGACTGATTGATTGGTATGGCAAGCAACTGAGGTCAGTACAACTTTGAACTTTTGAGAGGACAAGGATTTTCACACGAGTGGAAGGGGAGGTGTAGAAGTAAGGAGGGTATTTAGAACAACTAAGAAATTAGATTATGATAGAACAAAATTAGAGGGAGCAAAGGTGATAAGCTTTTTGCGAAAGCTGCTAAAGCAATCGTGAATGTTCGAACACAATTTCCTCAAATATATTAAAGACGAGAGAAAGTAATACAATGTTATACCAAAGAAAAGTATTGGAATTTTGGCGAGTATGAGACTCTACAGGTAGGAACAAATGGTTGCCTAAGTCCTTTGAGAAGTGCAAGCAAACAGGACTTTAGTAGACGAACGAAATAGCACACAAATAACATAGCTGAAAATGTCTACTTCCAGGAGTTGTTGCTATTTTATTAGCCAGCGGAAACCACAATGAAAAAAGTGTGACTCGAATAAGTAACGTGCCAAGGAAAGCTCTGGTATGAGGTATTTAATTTCCAAAGAGAACATCCACTTAGTTCCATAACTCTGCAGAGTTTAAATAACTTTTCTAGAAGAAGTTGACAGTACGAAGTTTGATCCAGAAAGGAGTATGGGTTTTGAAAATATTTTATCGAGGGAGAATGAGATTCTGATATAAAAATCCACCTACGACTTAACTGTCATCGGTGTTATTAATGCTGACCTTCTACAACGCTTTATAGAAGAATTTACTATTAAATTGCAAAGTTATAATTAGCATCAGTGATGGCAGGTAAGTCACAGAGGGGTCTAACATCACAAAGTTGATTTTATGAAAATTGCAGGTAGAGGGTATTTAATATATGTAAGCCCTCGTTATGCTCTTTGAAGGTTGAGTTACTGTCGTTAAGGCTTGGCTCTCTGCTGTACCGCGGTATTAGAAAATTTAAGGCAAAAACCGATAGAAGGCAGACATTTAGGTTGTTGTGCTGAAGCATAATAGGACTACATCAATTGAAGCTTTTCAATGATATTCACAATTTTTATTAAAATAGCCTTGCAATCGCCTGACGTCTTTGGTTAAAAAATATATTGAGTATTAACTTTTATGATAATTATCTATAACGATTGCGTTTTTATATAACTCGGTACGCTTATTCTACACCAAAGAAATATTACACCGTGCCCGCTTTTTGCCCACAAAAAAAATGCAGGAAAATGCAAATGACGAAGCTGTCTAGCAGCAACGGTCACTTCTATGTCAGCAGTAGCGGCGCAGCAGCCAGAGCAGTTTTACGACCTGTCGCCGCATTGGCCTAAGCTTTGGCTGATATTCGTGCGCGTCTATATGATATAATAGCCGATTGTGTTGAGAACTCGTTAGACGAGTTGCAGCACGCTAGCCTCACTAATTAGCCGCGCAGCATCTACTGGCCAGAGCTGCAGTAACGGCAACCTTTTGCTGAAAATCGCAAACGACACAGCGCACAGTTCTTTGTTGCATGCGGCAACAAACGGTTGTATGCTCCCGAAAAACGCTTGGTTAAAAGAAATTGAAACGCGGACGCGCTTAGGCACACAGCGCAATTTTATAAATTGAATTGTTTTCGAATTGAAGTACGCGCAAATCAGCAGCGCTCGAAGACCTGCTGCTTACGCTTCGGTTGAAGTGTTTCCATTTGAACGCGATGTGTAGAACACAAATCCTTCTCGGCGTCGCGCTTCTCGCCACTTGCAGCAGTTATGCCAATGCGCAGGAGTACAGCGCGGATCTTGAACTGCAGGCGCGTGATCGCCGTAGCTTGGATGTTGGCTGGCTGCTGCGCAATCTGTT